GTTTTTGTCTACCTCGGACAACGAGACACTAGGAGGTCGCGCGCATATTGAGACTCGTAACAAGACATACCGGCAGGCCGTCAACGGCGGTTAGCTTCAGATCTACCGGTGAACTTAGGTAAAAGAAAGAGGGAAGAAGAGAAAACCGTCCTTGTGAAACTGTCTACTACAGAACCACTATGCTATCACCACAGTTGATGCCGTGTGATTAGCCTGATGGTGAGCATTTGGATAGGAAGGTTTCTTATAATGAAAAAGTAAATTATCACAATAATCAAGTGTAACTGGCAAGCTTGACTAATAACTTTTTGTTTCTGATAAGTCTATGATTTCCTTTCGATAGCTGAGCTCATTGTATCTGTTGAATTCTCACAGGATGATTTGTTGCTCCTACCGGTTTAGTGTCTTACTGTCTGCAACAACAGCATTTGGTGAAGTGATTGAGTGATTATGTCCATCGCGGAAGAACCCAGGCGCGGTCCCATCGGAACCCCAATTAGAAACGAGCGTCCATACGAAAACAGAGCGGGACACTTCACCAAGCGTACGACGGTTGTGTTGTGAGTTAATCTGCAGACCCGAAGGAGAAGATACAGAAGCATGCGAAAAATGCAAGCAAGCACGTGTTGACCAAAGAAGTGACCTTGGTATGGCAAAATAATGAGATGCAAAAGAGGAATGGCACATGCAGTGAGAAAGGTGGTTCCAATTCGTACAAATTCAGAGAAAAGATCAGGAAAAATGCTGATATAAAACTGCCGATTAAAGAACCGATGAGTAAATTAAGCCTATCAGAGGTTACTAAAATAGAGAAAGGACAAAGTAGCGAGTGTCCTCTCCGAAAGGAAACTTTAACGGCTGCACAGATTATCAAATAACTAAGATGGAAGTGTCGGAAGGAAGCGGTTTATCGCGGAATGACGCACCAACTTGTGGCGATAGTTTCACCTCTACAACTCATGTTTTATTGTAGGAACGATAGTGACACTAGGAAGGGAGATAGGTAAGTGACTCTCAGGTAGTCTACCGGAATGCAGAGGTATTATTGTTACCATAAAGTTGCTTTGTAAAGGTCCACTTCTCAATTTGTTTTACGGGTTTCTCTTTTTTTATAAAATTTAATTTCCAAATTTACGCACAAAAACCTTTTCACGCCACTGTTCACGCTTGCCCATCTCCGTCAAAACTTTGGACTTTTACGATCTTTTTCAAATTCACAGATGGCTGTCGGTGAAAAAAACCCAGATAAGTTGTCCATTACAATCACCTTTGGGTCGATCCAGAAACAACCTCGTCTGAAGGCTCATCTTTCTTTTTTCTTATGGCGCTCGTTTAGGGCTTCGAGATGTGTACTGTGGGTGCACTCACGTGATTCTCGTTTAGTCACTGGGTCGTTCTGGGGTATTATGCAGTTCCGTCCTATCGTGCGTCCGCTCGATCCGCGGTTCTGGATTGTCCGGTCGTTACCGTTATCCACGGGTTACAACACTGCCATGAAACTGAATCTCAGACGCGATTTACATTTCGCATTTACGTATCGATTCTGTGTGGATGTTCGCTATGGTCCTTAATTATACAAATTCTGGCTATAATACGTATATGAAAGACGTTCTTAAGACATTATAACAGTAACTGTCATGTGGATATCATCGATGGTTTCAAGGAAAGCTCCAGCAGATACGAAGTACACGATCGATAATTTACAAGAAAACAAAGTCACGAACGGTGGATTTTCGGAAAGAGCAGGAAAATTACCTCAAACAGAAACAACGGTGTTTTATAAAAACAAATTGCATGAAAGACTGCTTCACTGTCCTTGTGCATCCAGCGACTATGACAGCACATAAACCCAAGCATACCTGGACAGCTTCCATTCTCTCTGGGGTGATCGGACAAAACGTAGACAATATCATCATGGTCGTCTTACTCACGACCGAAATTCATACTGACAGAATTACACTGAATTGTATCAGATGCAGTATGACTCAAATCGCTTGTATCCATTCAAAATCAACTGATCGATGAAGATTCACCAACAATGGAGAATTAAAAAAAACACGGATTAAGCAATGATGTATCAAAACAACAAGAAAAAATCACAAGCACCGTAGAGATATGAAAATATCATCACTATGATGGGTGTGACAAAAGAAAACAAATCTGTCAGTTCATTCCGTATAAAGTTCTGGTAAAAAAGGATCCGCATAATGGCCCACACCATGCTTGACCAAAATTTGATTGTAAATTCTACACAGTCGACAGCGCTGAACTTGTGCATCGAACTGATGTAACAGACCGGCCACATCCCCCGGTAATCGACATCCGAAACAACCCGTTTGCGCAGAAGCATTTTGGAGTATCGCAGCCAAGCAAGACACGTGCATTACTTTGTGACAGCCAGGGACGGTGCACTGAAAAACAGAAGGTACGAGATGCTGGAGGCCCGAAAGTGTGCAGTACACCCTGCTAGAGCAAAAAGATAAGAATGATCCCGTTAGGCGATCGGCAAATATCAGCACGAACGAAGATCAGATAACGGAAACGACGAGCTGAAACCGGGTCACAAGAACGAAGGGTGCGAACTGAGGGCTCCACTTCTTGCACTAACCCAGTTTTGAGTTGTACCACCAGGCCATGTTTCGGTTTTGGTTGCTGACTACAGCAACTATCGTGCATAACGAAAGCCTACCAGTAACACATTTCAGTAAATGTAATTGAAAGATTCCCGATAATTACGTTATTGAGTTACCGCGTCCAACAGGTGTCCCTCGTGCAACTGCGACTTAGCTTGTCCGGTTGTCTCACAAAAATTGGGGAATGATAAATAGACGGCGATCGTCCGTGCTTATATGCTCTACTTGGCGTCCAGAGTGGACCGCTTCAGAACACACTAGACCCTTGATAGGGAAATAAATGTTACAACGACAGTAATGGTGTTCCCGTTTGAGCTTTCAGTATGCCTACAGAAAATGCATGTGAGACTGGAACGCCAGGAGATAACTGATAAAGGAGCAGAATTTGTCAACTCTATTGTTCTCTAGGTTGGATAGTATTGAGAATTGGAGGCTTCAAATTGTGTGTCCGCATTTTACACCTTGAGGTGTTAAACGCATGTCCAGCGTAGTCACACGAACACCCTTGAGAAAAAACAACGAATATTACCCGAATCTTCATTGGCAGCACAATAATGTCTTCATACTCTACATTTGTAGCGGCTTGACTGCAAGTGGGAAAAGTGCATTTGCAGACAGTGGACGGATATTTGGCAGTGTGGCACATTGATCACACAATGAATTCAACTTCACAGCTCAAAACAAAAATTCAATCTACCAAACAACATAAACTGATTGATTTGGTGCAGGTGGAGGGCACGGTTGTCACCGATACAGTTGATATTTTGGTAGTAGTGAAAAGAATGACCACGTCGATTGCGTAGTATACGGGCTGGACAGCAAAACTGCGCCGTTTGGTAACTAATGGGTTGAGGTTATCGCACACGTGTGGTCAATTTACTTTGGAATCAGGATGAACCGCAGGTAATTCACCGACGCGGGTACATAATCAAGTGCTGGCTTGTTGACCCCTTAATTTGATGAGAAAACGAATGTAGCACATGGAGGAAATGTGTACGGCTTCTTCTGCAAAAACTCATCGGGACACTCAACTGTACAACAGCAATGAGCGAGGATGACTAGTCTTAATCCTAGATATCCGGCGCGGAGCACACTGATGCTCTGTGTTAAATCTATCCTTCAATGCCCGAAAATTTGCTTTAGAAACAAAACAAACGGTTACATTCGAGACAGCCATAGCCTCGGCGGAATTTTGAGCACCAACTCATTCATGAACTAAGCCGAAACAATCTACGGTTTAGCAATAAGACGCCCTGGATCTGAAACGGGACACTATTTCTTGAGTGATTTACGACATCAAACCGATCACAGTCTCCAATCGTTGCAGTGGTGGCTTCCTCTGCAGTCTGCCACTAAACATCCAATAATTGCTAGCATACATGTTGGTGAACAGACTGATTAGAAAGTCACACATTTACTCGTACCTCGACATTGGTGTAACACATTAGGCTTCATTTGTAAATGATCACAAATTTCACTTTCACTCAAAGAAAGTTAAACTAATTGGAAACAACGGTCACCGAATGCATCGTGATCAAGCACCGGTGAACAAATGTAAACTACTGGGAAATAACCAGATTGTGTCATTTGAGTATATCAATCTGAGTTTTTAAAGAAATCACAAAAACTAATAGCGATCTGAAAGGTGAAAACCAGAGGATAGGGACATGAAAAGGCGAATGTATGAAATCACAGTTCGTCAGCGTACCCGTCGATAGGTTGTGACTTCATGCGGCCAGATGGGGTATCGCAAATCTTCACACAAATCGCACAGTAAAGCACGACGACGACATGCGAGACAGCCGTGGACGTGAGCCAAAGCCACGTTGCTAAGTACGGCAGTGATTTTACGTTCCAAACGGCCGGAATGAACTTCAACCAAATCCTAACATCGTGATTCGTAATTTGGAAGACGAAAAACAGTAAATGAGGATAAACACAAGAGGTCGAAACGCTAAAAACAAATAATTACGAACCATTCTTTTCCCTAACCAC